TCGGGTACGTCGTACACGAGGGGAGAAACCGCTGAGGACATTGTGGTGTACCGATTTGCGGCATTACTGGGCATTTTTTAGGGCATTATAAAGATAAAACAAAATAAAATAAGGTAAAATAAGATAACACGAGATAAATAATATACAATAAGACAAAGTAATGCCCACTGGGCATCAGTGGGCATTGATGTACAAGATTTTGGTCAGCGGTTTCCCCCCTCGGTCGTACACGACAGGCGCGACGACGAACGTTACGTTTCTCGCACGTGCTATTAATTATTTACAGCGACTCGCGAGGAAAAGGCGCCGCAAAGGACGAAGGGGCGAAGGAAGAAGGGGGCGGCGAGATCCCGTGCGGGAAAAAAAAGGAAAACAAATATGGCGCGAGGGGAGAGAGATCGTGGAAGAAAGATCGCTGCGCGAAATTTCCCGTATATGGAAACGCGAGTTCGGGCACGGAGGCCGGCCGGTGGTCAGTCGGTCGACCGAGGGATCGGGCCAGCGGGCCCACGCGTGATCCGTCACGCCGACCGCGTGACAAGCAGCTGCGGAAGAGGGCAGGGGGAGGGGGAAGGGGATAAAAAGCGAAGGGCTCGGGAGACGAATAGAGGAGAAAATAGCGCGCGGAATAAAGAAAACAGCGAGAGAGGGAAAAACGTCACTGCGCCAAGAGGACCGTTGGTTCACAGCGCGAAAGGAGCGAGGGGGGTCGGGAGGGACGGTGAACTTGACGATGGCACGGGGAACCCGAGACGCCGAGATAAGCGCGGAAGAAACCCGGACGGTGGCGGATTGGGACAAGGAGAGGCCCGCGGAAAGGCGAGTGGGAAGACGGAAATTTGCGGTGGAATAAAAGGAGCCGACGCGAGAGAAAGAGAACAAGAGGGGGAGCGAGGGAGCAGAACGGGTCGGCGACGGCGAGGAACGGGCGCGTTGCTCTGCGCTCCGCTCGGCTCGGCACGGCACGGCGTGTACGTACAACAATATCCGGGTGGTATCCCCTTGCACTCACCGTCGGTCCTCTGGATGTTTATGCTGCAGCCGACGTCGATGTTGCACGTACCGTGATCCATGGTCATTTAGTCGATCCCGCGCACCTCGCTCGGCACCATAAAACGCGCCCGGCTTCCTCCGTTAACTCGCTCACGGCCAACGGGCCCCGCGCGCGCGCGCGGCCGGATTAATCGACACGGGCGCGTGTGCGCGAGGGAGAACGAGAGAGAGAGAGGGAGGGAGAGAGAGAGAGAGACCAACGAGCGACTCGCGCGATCGCGACGGTTGACGGTTGACGGGAACGTTCGCATTCAAACTCGCGCGGCGACCGGTCGGGCCCCGCGGGGTCTCCTTCCTTCCTTCCTCCGCTCCCGGGAATCTTGGACGATGACGCGCTCGCCTCTCGTCCTCGCCGCCTTCCCGCCCGTCCTGCTCGTCGCGAGTCCTCGCTCTCGGGAACCGGCGCGCGACTCTCTCCTCGGCTCCAAGGCACGCCCGTGCGCGTATCCGATCTCTCTCTTTCTCCCGGCCGAACGTTCGTCTCGCGCGGCGGCCGCGTCGCGTTGTCCGTCCTCGAGCCGTCGTCGCGTCGACCGGGGTCAGCGGCGCGAGCGGAGACACGCACACGCCACGCACACACAGGATTGCGACCTGCGCGCTCGCGCACAAGCCCAAATTGCACTCGCGGCTCGCAGACGTTTCGGGCTATCTCGCGCGTCCGAGGGGACGGCCGTTCGAGTCGCTTTTCGTGCCGGGATACACCGCCAGTGTCCGTTATTGACAACGGAAGGACCGCGAGCGCCAGCTGCCGGCCGGCGCGCGCCCGATCGCCCCGACATCTGCCGGCGCGAGCTCGCCGGATCGAGCGGCGCGGCGGCGACCGCCCCTGACATCTGTGCCGCGCTCGGGGAAACGCCACGCGACTATCCGCCGCGTTCGGTAAAATCGCGCTCTTTCCGCAACGCGCCAGCTTTTCCTACGTTATTTTCCTACTTCGAGAAACGAAACTGGGGATACTTTTAGGGCACTACGTGTTTTACATTTTATCACAACGCACTATTTAATCATTGAAAATTGAATTTCGCAATTTTAACATGTTGGCTTTACATAGGAGCATAGAGAATGTTTGACAGCAGTCCAGTGAGAAATTATTCATCGAAACGATATCAAAGCGTTTCGACATCGATCGACGAGCCATTTCTCGCTGGGAATAGAACTAGTGTCCACTTCTATCAATGTAGTTTAATTTTAATCTCGGTTTAAGTTATTTTCCATCTTTTTCCAACTCTTAAAACTAAAAAGAGATAAACAGAAAGTTAAACCGAGATTATTAAGTTAATCTGCATTGGTAGGAATGGACATAAAAAGAGGGATCTCGATTAAACTCCGGTTATCTTAATCGGCCAACTTGAGTTTTGCTATACCGTTAATGTAGAATTCAGTATTGCTTATTAGTATTTTAATAAACATATGATATATGTATATATGCATGTGTTGTGTGAAACCTTGATAATTAAATATTGACATAATGCGCCGAACTTTTGCGAAACATCTTATTTTTCCTTCCTCTTCAACGTCCCTCCTTATTTTTTAACAGCTACGTAATTCCGTGGTTCGACGAAATGATTCGATACGACGAAATATCTTCTCTTTTCTTTCCTTTCAATTGTTTATCTTTGGAGTTGACGATTCCGTAGCTCGACGGACCGACGCCTTCAACTCCTCCAGATCGAAATTCTCTGACTTCAGTAATCGCTCGATGATGTACGTCGCCCTACAATCACATATCATATAATTAATATTAATCGCGACAAATCTGACCTTTGTATATATTGCATAAACGTGTCTAATTTTATCAGAGAGCCTCACGTGTCTTGGCCTTTGGCTTCCGGTAATCGTGGAGGTAACTCGCCAGCCTTAAATTTTTCGTATATCTACAAAAGTCCTCTTACTTTTAAAATTCTTTGACATTTAGATTAATTAAATTATTTCACACTTATTCGTGTAATTTTTATAAGCAAAGCTTTAAATAGACGCAAAGTAAGATTTTTACCTCTAACGCTCGTTTGACAATCTTTTCGTCCAAGCCCGCACTTCGTGCAGCCGCGTGTGCGAAGCTACGTGTCACGTGTCCACTAGTTAAACTATAAAGATACGCCACGGTGCCGTCCACGTTTGTAACAAATTCAAAAGTCTGTGAAATATACAATGGAAAATAGGAAATAATAGATTAAAAGGCAATTCAACATCGGCAATAAACGCCAGTGAAAATGAACGTGTCTTACCTGCTCCTCGATTATCGGGCTTTGCGGTAACATGTTCATCACCCGATGCATGTGCGTGGCCACGAAAATGTGCGGACAATCGCTTCCTCGCTCGACGAAATTGTTCAGCACGGCCGCGAGTAGTGACAAGCCGCTCACCTCGGACGTTCCGTTGCCGAACTCGTCCAAAATGACAATGGAATTCAGCGTGGACGCGTACATAGCAGAATTGATCTAGAAGATCGAGGAGAATAATGAGGTCTTTTCAAGATACATGAACCTACGTCGCGCAGACTCTGCTCGTTCGCGAGAACTTTAATTCACTGCGACCCTCTGAGGTGTCCGAGTCTCTTGGACAAAGTCACTCATTTACCTGCCGTATATTTTGCAGAAACATGCTCGTATTCAGAGCGATGCTGTCCACAGACGTGATCTGAGTCATGATGTGAGTCACTATTCCTATGGTGGCCGATTTGGCCGGCACGAAGCAGCCGATGTGAGCCATGAACACGATCAGCGCGACTTGCTTGAGATAAGTGCTCTTGCCGGAAGCGTTCGGGCCGGTCAGGATTTTCACGAGGCTCTTTCCGTCCCCGGAATAGGTGTCATTGGGAACAAACGTCGTTAGAAACTCCTGCAGTGGGTGTCGACCCTGCTCCACCGCTATGACCTGGCGGTCCACCACGTTCGGTTTCACATAATTGTATTCTCGCGCGACCACGTAAAACGCCAGTAATCTGCAACGATTGGCACATGTAGAGTGTCTCAAGAGTCTTGTCTGAAATAAATCTTGCAAGGAGCTCAGAGTTGCTTTCTATTGTGCCCTAATATTAATTCTTTTAATTATAATCTCTTTATCTCCTTCTTTGGCTAATTAGTTATTTCATTCTCTTGATAATTATTTTCCCTATCGCTGGCGTCAGTTTCGCGCAAGAGCTCGTAACGCGTCTACCACTCACGTGTCTAATTCGGCGCACAATTGAATCGCGTTGAATATCGAGGCAGCGTGCTTGTTTATATACTTCACAAGCTTCAGCATAATGCAGCTCTCCCGCTTATTTATCCTCAGCATTATATCTCCTATAGTCTCGTCCAGTTCTGAAAAGTCGATTTTAATCTCAGACACGGGCAAAGAGAAGTCGCAAGAGAAAACGGGCAATATGCACTTCGTACGTAGTAGAGTAAAAGCTGTAGAAATTGAGAAATGGCGCGAACCTTTGGCGCTCGGGCTCTTGTAATAACGTATGTTGTTGCTGACGAATTTGAACTCTAGGTTCTCCAAGTCGGCATTGTCGGTCGGCGACGGGTTCCACCCGGTGATCGCTAGAAGATACCCGATGTTCGGTATGTACACCATCTTGCAGGTCGTCACCGAGGCCGGGAGATGCTCTTTCATATCTTTCTCTCCCATCCGCGTCAGGGTCTCGGGCAGAGCGCTTCTCACGTGGTGCACTGCGTCCCAACGGAGAGACGTAATACACAACGTTTGGATGCGCAGCGACGGCGTAATGTTTCGACAGTTACATTATCGTCACGTAATTACATAACAAATGAAATCATGTTATCGGTGGGACATTTTAGCTAGTGGTCACCACCTTGGATTTTTAACATCAGCTTACGATTGTCCAGGTGCGAGTCCACGTTTGCGCGTACGACGAAGTCACTCTCGGACCTTTTTGCGCCGAAGTCCACTATGTACTCGATGAAATACTTGACGTAACGCACCTCTTTCGTGATACTGTCGACGATTTTCCTGAACAGCCTCACCTTTTCGCGGTGTTTCTCGCATATGTCGGCGATGTAAATTATGGAAGAAATCGTCTGCGGCGTGAAATACAAAATAGAACGTAATGGGGCTCGAATAAATTACTCGGCTGCCCGATCGAGATTGAAAAATCGTGGTAAACCTTGTGCAATCGTCGCCAGTCGGAAACTTTAGCCTGCTGCGCTAAATATCGATCCAGAATAACGTTAGTCAAGCGGTAAACGTGTCTCAGGCAGGACGTGAGATTTTCGACGATACTATAGTTTTCCGGGTTCAAGCAGAATTCGACGACCTCGAATCTCTCGTTAAGGATCCGGACGTCCCGAGTGGGATGCCGCAACGTTTTCCTGCAAAAACGCAGTCGCTTCAAAATGTAACAACGTCGCGATATTGTGAAAGACGAGGGTAGCGCGACGCTATACTTGCCACAGAAATTGCATCCCAGGCCGCGACTGGCAACGATTCAGGAGGATGAATAAGCTGCCGCTCTGCTTCTTCGCTGCCGCGTCGCCGCACTTGAAGAGGCTCGGGTGATGCCTGGCGTGCACAATATTCAGCGCCTCGTAAGTGTCATCGTCTATCATGACGATGTCGCGTCTGGGAAATTCCGCGTGCAAGAAAGAAACGGACGCGGGTAAGACCTACCGAAGCCAGAAGAAAAGTCCCTCGGGACGGTCGATGAATACAAACCGGCGCGGCGATCAATTCGGAGAGCGCGGTCGCGGCTTTAACAAAGATATATACATTCAGAAGACTCCGCGATTCATCTCTCGCGCAACATTCTCAGAGAGATGATCGGCGGGCCGGTAAGCTCCGCCACTACCAGAGTGTATTAATCCTACGGCGAGAGATTGCGGGGACTCACAACGTGACGCTGGCGAGAGACGCGAAGCCAGGCCTGCCGGAAGGATCGAGCGCGATGTTGCTCCAATGCTGGTCGATGTGGATCAAGAGCAGGCCGAGCGCGTGGATCATGACGATCGACTTGAAGTTGAGCAGGCCCTGCAGGAAGATAAGCCTCTCGACGTGGCTGGCGCTCGCCGGCTCGGACTCGAGCTTGAGACATTGTACCCGGTGATAGCATCTGTCGAAGCTGTGCTCCCTCTTCCGCACCACCCTCAGCGAGACCGGCCGCGACGACCTCGCGTCGCTCAATCCCGACGTACCGCTGCGATCGTCGCCCGGCACTTCCGACGTTACCAGGGCCTCGAGGGCCGTCAGGAACTCGTCGGACGTGCCGGAGATCGTGATGACGTGGCGCGGCTGGCACTGCTTGTACAGGGCCCTCGCGATGTTGAAGCGGACCCCGTCGTCATAAGTATCGTCCATCACGAACAGCTCGGACGTGAGGATGTTGTAGTAGGCCGCGCCCAATTGATTGCTCGACCAGATCATCGCTAAAATGATCTGCGAAGGGGAGGAGGGTACTTTATAATTATTCGCGGGACACGCGCTCCCTTGAGAGTCTCGATGCGACCGTGGCGAGCAGATTCGCGGTTTCGCTTTGCGTTAATGAGATACCGCCCGGCATCTGGCCGGCACGATGACAGTACTTGGCTCGGAGAAAAGCCAGGAGATATTGAATACAGAGAAATACACGAAGACGAGAGAAATCGCGACATATTTTGAACAAAATGAACTTCAATATACGAGCCTCGTCTCTGTCCGTAAAATTGTCGCCCCGCACGGTCGAGCCGCCGTCGGTCTGCAGATTCTGTGCCGCTGCGCCCGATTGCGACGTTGGAATATTTATGTTAAACTCCTCCTCGTCGCTGCTGCTTGCGTTCATTATTGCCTCAAATTCCACATGTCTGCAGCGAAACACATATTGACGTCAAAAATGAGACATTGTAGCATATAAGTTATCGACATAGGAGAGAGAAACGATCCGGGAAGCAGAACTTTTAACATTCTGCCAACAATTTCGAGCGACTGTCTTCATCGAGCTCGATTTTGTCAGCGAAAACCACCCATACAGCACCCAAGCTTTCAGAAACATTGCAACAATGTTCTCCGAAAGCTTTGGTGCTGTATGGGCAGAATTTTTTTTACTTAAACTGGTAAAAAGGAATTAAATATATCACTTAAATGGTTATAAATTGGCAGAATCTGCACGGTTTCTGCGGTCAATTTGTAATTACAATTCCAGCGCCGTCAGCCTACCATTACATTCTATCTTTTATCAGTGAAGTTCATTTCTACCGGCATTTGTCGCAAACGCTTTGAAAAATCTATCGTTCGAAATATTCGACTGTCTGGGGAAACGGCGCAACTTTATCAAGAAATGAGGACGAGGGCATACATTTTAGCTAAAGAAGGGACCGACGGCGAGACGTTTCTTGACGAACTCATTTCTTATCGTTTCTCCGAATTCCAGCTCCAGCGTCAAAATACGTGAACAAGTAGACACTGAAGAAGAAATGGCGGCTGCTGGCGATTGATCCTCGTTCGTCCTGTCGCATGTAAAAGGCAGGATTTTTACTTGTGCGGCAGTAACTTTTTAAGCGCGTTGATTGGCCGGATAGAAAATGTTATTACACTGCAGCCAATCAACACGCTTCAAAAATTTGTCGGACGATAAACGAGACAGTACCTTAGTCCGCACTTAAATTGAATTTCATTTCAAGAGAATTTCAAACGTCAAGGACAGAGCTCATAGCGCTAAATAGCATCTCCCCGAACGCAGCCAGAAGGAACAGATAGGCGGAATGTGAAGAAAAACTTCCAAATATTTGTAGATCAAAACTAGAGGGCTGAGAGTGCTTTCCGAATGTAAATATTGGCATCAATTTGAATATGTCCTGTTACCATCTAACATATCATTACAGTGTTGCCGACTTCGCTTCCTCGGCTTACGTCGGACGCGGAGAAGAGCGCGGATATATCTGCTGTCTCTTTCTCTTCACGCCGTGGAGAAAGAGACAGCAGATATGTCCGCGCTCTTCTCCGCGTCCGACGTAAGCCGAGCGCTGAGGGGCTACCCCCACTCTACTCCCTCCACGCGCTCGACTGCCATGCAGAGAAGCGAAGTCGGCAACACTGTCGTCGTGGCCGTATCGGCTACCGTTTATCAGGTGCCGGATGCCATAATTAGAAGAAGAAGAAGAAGTTCAGAGGTAAGCTTCACGCGGCGAAAAGCTGCCGATTGTCTAGCGAGCGTGTTATCGTATTATAGATTCCATATCAATTTGAGATGCAATCCCGGTTTAATTAACTGACGCCGATTTAAAGTTCTGACAAGCGTGTTAATCTGTGATTTTTATCCCAGTTGTTTAAGCCTTTTGCAAAGCATATCGAAGAGGCGGCGACATGTTCCGACTGTTCCGAGACGCTCCGAAAATCGGCGTGAAGGTCTGCGCCTGTTGCCTTAAACCACTTACACCATGCTGGCACTCCGTCCCGCCCTTGCAGCATGTCCTAAGCGTCCGAGTGGGGGACCTGTTGGAGAAGCTGATGCTGTTAAACTACGACGCGGAATTCGTGCAGGAGCTAAAACTGAAACCGATCGTTACGATCGTTACGTAAGATATCGGCAATGTTGTCTGCAATATGCTCCATTTAATATCTGATAAGATAATTGTAAACATCGAAAACACACAGGCGTCACTTTATACTTTCAACGGATCCCGACGAGCAATTTTACACGTTCACTTGCCTGGCCGTGTGGCTGATTAGGAAAGCGGGGAGGAGCTTCGAAATGCCGCAAGAATCGGACGATCCCAATTCCACGATAGCCCTGATCTTGAATTATCTCAGGGAGATCGAAATACCTGTGGAGTTCCCGCCACAGGCAACAAACGAGCTTAAGGAGGGCTACGGTGAGACCGCGGTGTACATTTTGGATAAATTGGCTGATAACGCTTTGAAAGTGGCAGAATTCGCTAAGACAGAAACCATTAAGACAGGTAATGTTTAAAGGTCCGTGCGAAAATCGGCTAGAACGAGCGCGACTGCATAGCGTAATACGTTGCAGACTCGAGAGACTGGAGAGCGCATCCCGAGCAGATGAAACAATTGTGCGGGAATATCACGACCAATCTGAGCGGTACGAAGACGCACTTGAGTAAAATCTCCACCGACACCGGGAATACCTTTGACAAGATCAAAACCTACCTCAACAGGCAGCTCGAGCCGTCCTTAACGGAATACCGCTCGCTGCAAGTGAGAGTTTAATCATATTGTTAGATATTTTTTTATATTTTCAAGTAATAATCTTATCTTCGTCAGCAAATAACTAACAGAAAATTGGTACTATTCAACACAACTGGTTACAATTTACAAAAAATTTATTGCAAAAAATAGCCTCAGCCAAGATTTGAACCTGGACCTCACTCGCATTTTTGCGACTGTTCTTTCGAACTTTGAACAGCGCTCTGATTTACCGCAATAGAGTTTTTCTAATTAAAGCCAGTTTGAATGATTTCGATTTTTTATATTTCTATTCTTTACGCATCATTAAGTTACGCATACGGAGTGACATATTTTATCATCAATCCAGGAAGACTTGTCGAAAATCAAGGAGCAGTACAGAGACGTTAGCGGCAGCGTTACCGAACGAACGCGAGCTCTTAATAAATTAATGGAGGAGCTGGAAGACCACATGAAGAGAGAGATGGACGAGAGAGGATCCAGCATGACGGAAGGCAGTGAGTATAAAGTCGTCACTCCGTCGGGCACGGGCGTCTAATTTCACTCTAAAATCTTGACAGCGCCGCTCATCAATATAAAGAAGACGATCACGAGGATGAGGAACGAGATCGCCGAGATGAACATCGAAATTCGTATCGGCGTGCTGGAGTACAGCTTGATGTGCGCGCAAGTACAGGATTGCATGCAGCTGCGAAAGAACATGAAGAGCACGAGTATCTCCGTAATTGCTTTTCTTTTTGTAACAGCTATATATAGCTGTACATTATATGTTTTGTTTTGCTATATATAGCATGTTTTGTTCTATAGTGTAGACGCGGCTTAATAATTTAACGGACGTCGCGCACGTTTTCTGCTATTCGTATTCCCACGCTTTAATCCGTCCGGCACGTAATGTCACGTGCGAATGTCTAGTCACGAGTATTGTCAAATACTCGTGACTAGACACGGGTCCAATTATTCCGTCTCTGTCGCGGTTGCGACGTACGCAAACTGGAACCGGAAGGTTCCGCCGCGGTAATGAGTCGCGCACGGATTTACACATTTTGTACGTTTATACTTAGCTCGCAATTGCGAACATTGTGATTGTCTGTTGACACAGTCACCGTGTTTGGATTAAATAAAGAGAGCTCTTCATTTTTCATTTATTAATCTCAACTCATTCTTGTGCCTTATCTGACTCGAAATACGCTCCTCACTTCCCGCTCTTTTCGCAACCTGTCAACATCGGTTGGCTCTGTCGACTGCACGTGCCGCAGCGTTTAATTAAATTACAATTAAGTAAGGTGTATCCCTCGTTCTTTTTTTTTTACCCAACGATCTTAACTCGCTCTTGTCTTATCTAACGCGAAACACCCTCCTCTGCGCTTTCTACGATTTGTCAACATCTGTTGCCTCTGTTGACTGCACCGCGTGTCGCAGTGTTTAAGTTAATTAAATTAAGTGTGCTGTCCATTTTTTTCTTATTCAACAATCTTAACTCGCTCTTGTCTTATCTGACACGAAACAACCTCCTTTTAGCGACTGTTTTTTTTTCCCGCGGATATCGCGACCCTAGAAATTGTTGATCGTTGACCGATCGACGCGTGCACATACACGCGAGGATGACAAAAGAATAGCGTGCGTACGTGTGTGTGCGCACCGCGTCACCCAAATCTGCGTCCGCGGCTCGCGAGTCGCGAATCGCGATCAGTCGGCGCGCGAGACTCGCGTGTACTCGCGCATTGCGTCGCGCGGTTCGAATCGACGTCGGGTGCCGGCGAGACGAGAAGGCGTATCTCGATTTCAGGATCAACAGGTGCGTAAAAAGAAACCCTTGGCTTTGGTTGATCTACGCAATCCGGCTTATCGGATTCCCCGAATTTGCTCCGTTAATATCGATGCTATGTCGAGATGGGACAATACGAGACGATCGCCGAAAACGACATTACGATCGTTACAAATTCTCCAGTTATCTCGTACGTACATCGGAGGATTCGATCATTCCGATCAGAATCACGGAACACCCTTGTTTGTCGATCCAGAGATTGATGCATTACTTTTATCGTTCGCCGCGAACAAAAAAAAACTTTGCCGACGACGAGTATTTGCAATTACGTGCTGTTATAATAAAAGTGCTAATCGGTATGTATCAGTGGGAACGATAAGAGAATAATAAATGCGCCGCTTATTACACGCTTGGTATCGTCGGTCAATTTGTGTTTTACAAAAACCAGCGGAAATTTTGTTTCCTTAGAGAATTTAAGGAACGGACCTTTTTGTTTTACGAAATCGCGTTCTTTATGCAATCGATTCTTACGATTAATTAGAAAACTCAAACACGAAAATTACGAACAAACGTGTTGCGTGTTTTATTAAACCGTAATCGCGCAACGCGAACACTGCAAAACAAACAGACAGTGAGCCTGCGAGTGTCTCTCTATCTCTAATCGTGCAGCAGGATGTGATATATCTTTTTGTCGGATGTGTCTGAATCGCGTTACGCAATTACCGGAGAAATTTTCTCCTCAACGCCTTCACCTTCACAATTTCTTCGCATTTTCGCGACGCGTACATCGTGCGTTTTAGCGACCTTGCTGGCATACTGAATCAGTATATATTTTAAACTATAACAATACTAGTAATGCAAATACATAAATGCAAATAATAAGATTTACAAACGCAAAAACGGTATCCGACTCTTTCGGTTTGATTACCGACTCTGTCGGTAAATCAAACCACTCCAGCATCCCCTTAAACGCTCTTCTCTAAATGCGGGAGTTGCAAACTTCAGCCTGTCGAGATTGGCGGGACGAGGAAAAGAAGAATAAGTTCACGCAGTCAATAACAACATTATCTTTTGTTTGATTACATTACGTGAGCAAATATTTGCAGTCGCCTGCGGTTGTTACCTGTACATAATTACAAGATACTGCCCTAAACCTGTTTGAGTAAATGTATACACCCGGTATTATTGGTATTTTTTTTCCCCCGGCGACGGCGCTTCTACTTAACTGGGCTATAAAACGGCGCGTCGCGCGCGATAAGCTTATGTGATCTTTGATTCCGCTTCTGTTTTGTTAATTATATTATATACTTACGGCGAACATAAATAGTAGATGGACGTACACCGAGAGTCGTACGGAACACATGTGGTTAGGAGTTAGATCGTGTTACTTGTTACACATCGTATAAAGGTATTATTTGACATTAGTTTCGCGTACATAAAATGCGCCGCGCGAAGAACGACCGTCGTCACGGCGATCGTTAGGTACGCTCGCAGAGTACAAAGTTCTCTCGGAGAACACTCTCTAAATCGTATATAAAAAAACACTACTTCTTTGTAAACGCGCTCGCTGTATAAAATCTCCGTTCGGTAAAGTTTCCCGTACAGCACAGATGGTTGCAGTTACATTGCAGAAACGTTGCAATCTTGCAGAAATATTGCAGGGATATAAAATTGCAAACTTTCGATAGCAATATTGCAGCAATGTTTCAAAAATAATGAAAATACTATATTTTCTATTTAAAAAATTTTTCTAATTACGAGAATTTGATAATGTTATTTTCGTTGATACCAATAATGCACGAATTATTAAGTACTTGATCAGTGCGGCGTTGCTCGCAATCTCCATCTATTGCGAAGCGACATAATCTCCTTAGGTTGCTTCGCAATAGCTTGCTGTGTATTGAAAAGGCCTGGATGCATATGTAATTAGTAAATTCTCTGCTTATGTACAACAACGACAAATTATTTCAAAAATATTGCACTGCAACATTGCTATAATGTTGCACTGCAATCTCTCTGAGGGCGGACATTTCAACGTTGCAGCAATGTTGCGCAACGTTGCTGCAATGTTGCAATCTTGCAATGTAACATTTCTGCAATCTTTCTGTGCTGTGTGGGTTCATTTAAAAAAAAAACCCTCCGGCTTATATATAAAACACTTGGGATGCGCTCAGGCAGCTCACTATTAGCTCTATTTAGCGTTGAAAGCGTTCTTCTATCCTTGTTGCTCATTACGCATCAAGGAAAGATAGATAACATTTTCAGCGTTAATAGCGCGCTGCGCGAGCGTACTCTTAGCGGGCTGGCGTACGCGAAATCGTCATCATTTTGGTTCAGATAGATATCTCTCGGGAGCCCGCGCGAAACGTGCCCGCCAGACTCGACATTTCGCGTACGTCAGAAAATATGTGAGTAACGTGATATCGGAATCTCTTTGCGCAATTTCGTTAAGGGCTACAGAGTACTCTTTTAAGATCCGCAGTATACGGCTTCTAACTCGGAACAGGCGGGGGCGGTTGGGGATTGAAAGAGATGGGTCGATAGCTCTTCTCCCTCACGAAAGGCTGCACTCCGTTCAATACGAAGCCGTTCACGGGGCTTCGCTCCTGTTTGACCGGCTCCACCGGGGTCTCCTCCTCCGTGCTGACGGCCTCCTCGCTGCGTGTTGGGCTAGCCGACCTGATTAATCGTTTCTTACTCTTTTCGCTCCGTTTCACACCTCCTCCCCCGTTCTTCCTACTTTGGCATCAGCAGAGAACGCCACGACACGCGACACAAACGTTTCACCATCGCGTTGCAACGGAAAGTCCAGATAGCATTAAACGACAAAGTAATTTTTTAAAAAGTAATAACTTACACAACATCTAAAAATATACATATTTCTGTGTTTAAAATTGTCGATCTTTCATACTTGTACGCGAATATAAATTTATAAACGTTATCGATATAAAAATAAAGGTATACCAGTTTTTGTAATAGAAATGGGACTTTAGTGCAGCCAGCCTTCATTTTTGAAGGGAAACCACTTTCGTTCGTAGATGATCAATATTTTGCGATCGGCCGAGCACACGTGACGCCTCTGCTGTATTTGTCAACGCGCTGAACGCCAAGGCAAACATCTATTCTAGGCGAGCTGAGGATCTAGTAAAATATTAGCATAGTCCTTATACAGACAGCGCGCAAGACTCGGAGAACGTTGGCCGGCGTTCAACGCGTCGGAAGATAAACCAAGACGCAACGCGTCGCGGAGCGACGATCTTTCTCCCAGACGTACGTAACGCGCTCGACGAATTGTGAGATGCGTTGGTTTACCCGTTTCTCGCACGATGCTTGCCACCTATGCGCCATCCTCGCCCAATACGTAGTTAGAAGCGCGACCGTATTTGCTTGGCTTGGTTTAATGAAGCGTTGTTAGATGACTAGAGGTGTTAAGACTACTTACTTTACGCCCACCTTAAAACCTGCGCATGATAAAAAATCAGAAAGCCAAAAATTAGTAGTCGCACGACACGCGCGAGTTCTTACCTACGGGTGCGATTAGTAGATTTAATTACTGCTACATGTATGTCTAGCACAAACATTAATGCTCGTATTCATTAACTTGTAACGGGAGTGCAAGACAAGCTGTCACATCGATTTTCTCATCGAGTGAATTATAAGTTCTACGCATACTGGAACGAGCACAAAAACAAATCTAAAGGATTGTACGTGTGTGCAGCAGACATATCTCTGGATTTTCAAGAAAACAAAAAGCCCTTAATGCAAATCTATAAAATGAACAAAATAATTTTAATTCCTTTCACTGTTAAGGTAGAAAAATTCTAGAAATAATCGTAAGGAAAATTATTCACCATCACACACACACACACACGTGTTCGACTTTTATTTAATAAAGTGGAAATAAAATTATATTGTCTTTGAATTTCATTAGTGTTCGCGCTCGCTTGGGCACACGAAACGTATCAGAAATATGTCGTTCGAATCTACGAAGACCTCCCGTTCAGGCACTTTGCGTCCATTGACATCGCTATTATTTCGGGAAACATTCTCAGGGGCGGGGAATCGTTATCTCAAGCGGAAGTCAAGGGGGACCAGATTGTATCGAACGTACCTAGACCGTATGGGCTTGCTCTTGCTGACGGCTTGCCTGGAATGCGGTCTCGTGTTCGGTTGCGATAGCTCACTGTCGCTGCTGGCTAAGGAGGATCTCGCCGCCACGGCCCCATGAGCAAAATCTTTCCTGTTGGGTAACGCGTTAGAAGATTATTCGCCATTAGCGGTTTCGTCTCGCAATCGAGGACTGTTGTGCGCGAGCCTAACATAGCCGCGAGCACGTGAGTGAAAGTGAATTCAAAGACTCTTCGGAATGACAGACACTTTGTACATGTGTATTGCACGGCGGAGGAGACCTTTACCCTTCTTTAATCCTTTTGCGTAGCCTACGTATGGAAACACCGCGTTCACTTCTCACTTTCTTTTCAACGGCCATCGCGTGATAAATATAAAGAATAAATCATTCTACCTATACATAATTATCCGAGTTCTTTTGAAAGCCAGTTTTAAGTAACATAATTTCCCCATTTATTATTTTCGTCGTTAACCCATTTTAGGAGAAATATCTTAGATCGTTGCGAGAAATGTTTGCACATTTCAAGAAATATATAAATACATATTATGGAATTAAAATTGTAATTTTACAAGCCATACAGGATTTATTAAGGAGATATGTCGTATGATTTGAAATCGATTTGTTCTCACGCTTACCTGTAGTTGTCGGATCTGGGAGTGGAGCTAAGATTCGCGGTTTTAATGACACTCGCGTGCGCGTCCACGAAGACGGGCGAGCTCTTGGGAATGTCGCACACCACCTTAGGATGCACCGTGGTCTGCTTAAATTCCAGATGCGACGACGACTCGGTGGGCGCCCAGTCGTAATACTTTGGCCGATAATCTTTGTACTCCCTCGGTTGCTGTTGTTGCTGCTGTTGCTGCTGCCTAGAATCCACGCTGGACGCTCTTTTACGCAAATACTCATCGCTGCTGACGCTGCTCTTTCGTATGGTCGTCATTTTCGCCGGTGGGACTGACGTGGGTGACGACGCGGATGACGACGGCGCGCCATCCGGATCCGCGCGGGATAACTGCGAGCTATCCCATGCAGTGGGTAAGCTACTGTAAATGAAACAAATTATTAACAATGAATAGCAATTTTGAGAGGTACAACTTTTAGAGATAATTAAAATCTATTTTTAAAAAATTTAACAAATTATATTCCCTTCAAAATCTATACTCTTTCATATTTAGTTGTTAACTTGTATAATAAATATTTTAGTCTGAAACATTTTATCTTATAATTAAATACAGAATTTAATAAAAAGATTCAACATATTCAAAAGTTTTAAGCTTTCATTTCAAGTATAATTTCAAGAGCTTTACCTCAGGTTTTCATCCATGCTGTACAAGCGAAGTTGCTGCCTGATATTCGCCTTCTCTCTGGCCCGTTTTCGTTGGAACTCCTCCTCTACTTTACGCATCGCCTCCAACTCGCCCTTCCTCTGTCTTTCCTTGGCTTCCGCCTCTCGCGATAGCTTCTCCGCCAACCTACGCCTCTCAATCTGCCGCACAGTGCTCTGGAACGTGAATCTACGGCCTTTCGAGTTGCTCTTTAACGGTGCCTTGACTTCCGGCGCAATGTCCTTATCGTCCTGCAAATTCTGCTGGCCACCGACGGGTGAACTACTTCGTTGCTTCATCTCGGAAATGTTCTCACACGATTTTGAAAATCTGTTATTCACTTTTCCGTCGTTCGCGAAAGGCTTTTCTTTCAGAATGGCAGATTCTTTGGGATGCTTGTTCGTCTTTTCTACATCTTTGCTCGGTTTCCTGAACTCGTCCACACCGTTCTTACGGTACTTTGATCCGGAGCTGTTACCGGAATTCTTCTCACTTTCCCCCGCCATGTTGCTCCTGTAGCCCAAACTCTGCGGTTGATACTGAGAGTCATTCGATTCAGGCAAATACATTACATGACCGCCGGAGGCCAAATACGAGAACGAAGGCGGCTTCATAATCACGGGAAAGTCACCACGATCCTCCAGATCTTCTACCAAAACCTCGTCGTCATCGTCTTCGTCGTCGAAGCTGGGCTTCCAACCAGGTGGCGAGGATCGCGTCGCGTCCGTGATCTGCGTATGCTGCAGCGACGTCGGGGCGCTTGTCGACAGCAGCCAGTTATCGTCGAGTACATCGCGAGTGCGTTTCCTCTCCAAGTCCAGCGGTCCGAGTCCGAGGGCGCCCGACACCGACCGCTTCAGCTTCTGCAATGAATTGAAGGTCGAGCCCTCCTTATTCTTCAGATCCGGATTGTACAAGTACATGCGATTGTCGTCGCGCGGCAACGACAACGAGAACACGTGCGCCCTGGGCGGGAATTTCACCGGGGTTGGCATCGGCGGCGGCGAATCCACCCCAGCGTCACTGCTCGACTCCTCGCCTAGATCCTGTTGCGGCGTCCACGTCGGTCTCGTCGCCGGTGTCTTCAATCGGTTGTTGTTGGTATTGGTGCTGATGTCCAACGAGTCGTCGTTGACCGCGCCGGCGTCCCCGGATATGCCGGAATCGCCAGACTTGTCGTGCGAACTTCGCGGACCGAGTGCGATTAGCGGCGGAGGCGGCCTCGACAGACGTTCGATACGCTCCTCGAACATCACCTGACGCCAAACAACGTAACAGTTTACTCGGACGTGTTATAAAGATTTTACATCTCTCCACTTGCTGAGTTGTACTAATTGTTTTACTGGAATATTTTCAATTTTGTAACGCGCTTACCGGAATTTCCTCGCTCGCCGTGCTCATGGTTGGCCCAGGTGCTTCTAACGCTGACAGTAATCTCCACGCCGCCGAAGGTGAAAACCGCGGGATTTCCAGCTGTTTCTTAGGTAACGTGGGTCGCAACTTTAATGAGATATCCTCGGTTCCGCTTTTCCCCTGAAAATAACAATCATTCGATAAAAAAAATGTATTCAAACTCTTCTTTTTTGAAAGAATAAAAAATTACACCAAACGACAATCTTATACTTTTATTGACAGACCGTTATAAATAAAGAAAAAAGAAACGAGCTACTCACATCATCTGTGTAGTCGTGGCATTCGATCGTACCATTGATCTCTCTGGCCTGCAACCTGGATTGGATTTGCTCCATGTGCTGGTCCACGCAATTCCGCGACTCATTCGATAACGCTTCGTCCATGCCGAAGTAGAAGGTCTTCGGTGCGGATTTCTCCGGCAACGGCAATCTAGAGAAATGATCGAGAGTCAAACTCTGCGCGGACGATTGCGGAACGAATGTACTGACTAATCATCGTTTATTCGTCGTTCACCGGAAAGCTAACTGTGCGTCTATACGCATCCGTGGGCACGCACGAGACGTTGATAAGGGAAATAATTATCACTCCGAGCACGCGCGCGCATCCGCGACTCTCGCGAGCGAGAGATAAATCGATCTGAGATGCGAGAGCAACTTACACGTGCCAATTTTTCTCGCGAACGACTTCCTTGGCTTCTGGTTTCCTCGCGAGCTTCTCTTTGGATTTTGCATCTTTCTTCTCCGCCGTCGCGGGAACAGGTTCGCAGGACCATCTCTTCTCGTCCGGCGCGCCATCAGTATTCCTAACGTCGCTCTTCCGCCATCTACGATCGGCATCTCTCTCCTTCTCTCTCTCTTTGGCCTCGCTCGTTCGCTCGGGCGTGCTTTCCCTCCCGGAACCCTGCCCGCGAGGATCTGTGACCCTGATGTAAGGCCTCACCGGACTCTCCGATCTGGTTCTCCCCGAGTCCGCCGCGTTTTCATACTTCCGGCTCTTCGCGACACTCTTCGCTCGTTGATAATCCTCAAGAAGGTCCCGTCGTTGTTTCTCCAACGAGACCCTCTCTCCCGAGGACTGCCCCACGGCGTCTTGGCGATCCTTCGGACCTTTCCGAAGAGGTTCTTTCGCGTGTATCGCCGAGGATTCGTTCAACATCGCCGATTTCTCGACGAGTCGTCTCTTCCCGCCCGACACAGCCTCCGCTTGCCTCTCCTCCAAGTAATCCTTGGTCCTTCCGGAATCACGGGACGCATTTCCTTTGCGCTCGTTATACGAGCTGTGCTTATTTTCGGGTCGACTACAACGATCGGTTAGCCGCCTCTCCTCGACCACGCGCTCTTCGGGGCTGCTCTCCTCGTTCCTCGCTGATCTTTTCTCCGGCCTTTTCGCCTCCTCGATCTTCGACTCTTTCGTGCAACGATCAACATCGCTGTTGCGCTCCAAGTTCGCCGACTCTACGGAGGATCTGCCGCCGCAGTTGAGCTTGTTGCGCACCTTCCTGGCCACTTGCATCAACTCCGCTTGGAACTCCGGACTGCTCATGCTTCTCTGCAGCGTGTTCTTGCCGTCGAAGATCCGCGAACGCCTGTGCTCATCCCGGCACCAGCGATCCTGATGGAGATGGTTGCTCTGATCGCGCCAGACGAGCCTGTTCTCCTTGTTGGCGGCGCGGCCGTCCTCACCCCGCCACCGTCGCTCGTTCTCTAGCCCGCTGCCACCGTTCTCGCAGCGTTCCGCGACAACGTGAGTCTGCGACGACGAGGAGGAAGAGAGCCAGTTCACCTGCGCTCTCTTCGTCTCCGCTCGCGTTTTGAACAGACGCGACCGCCTCGGCGGCGGTTGAACCTCCTCCTCGCCGCGGCAACCACCCGCTCGATCTTGACCGGACTCGGTATATCTAGGACCAAGGTTCCTACATCGAAACACGGTTGCTTTAGATTGACATCAATATAGGCGAGAAGCTCTCTATTAATATTAATTTTTTTAATATAATAAAGACCAGCTAGACAGAGATTGACACTTGCAAATTATTTTCAATATCATATTGCCGGCAAAAAGGTACGACTCTTCAAAAAGAACTAGAGATATTATTAATTAAAGTGAAACTTTTAGGATTACCGTCCTATAAATTAAATAGAGTAGAAATCTTTTTGTGTCACGAGGCCCCAATTGTATTCTACATATATTAATTCATGAATTTTTACCACTTAGGCCTATGTATTTATTCGTATCCACCTCGTCCCTGAAAGTGCTCTTAACGGGACACTCGATGTATTCGTAGCATTCCTACCTGTAAGAATCCGGGGACGATCCGTCAACGACGCCGTTGGACGGCGGCGCCGGTGCCTTGTACTTCTTCTTGCCTCTGTACCGGCTCTCTCGTTCTCTGCACTCTCGCTCGGGATAATGCCCGCTTCCGCAATGCCGGTGCTCCATCGCGTGCTGATGCTGCTGCTGCTGCTGCTGCTTCCCGTTGCAGCGCGCCGCCTCCCGCGCCATCGGCGAGTACCGCAGGTCGGGCTCGCTGCCGAATCTCTTGAGCTCCTGCATCTCGCTCTCCATGCAGCATCTCGACCCGCTCCCGTAGTAGCAGCAATGGTGCTCGAGCTTGCGGCTGCGTGACGCGCCGATGTTCGACGCCGAGGTGCTGCGGCTGCGAAAGATCCCTCCCTGCTGGGGGGCGAGAGGGCAGGCTTTAAAAATCCCGACTCGAATTTATCTCGCTTTGTCTATAAGTATTTGTCCAACGATCCAGATCCCGATCCCATTGTCTCGCGACGCGCGGGCCGAGCAAAATATTTACCGTCTGCCTGTCATAATAGGAGCCTCTCGTTAGCGAGCCCCGATTATATGCGTAACGGGTCAGGATAATATCTTTTTCTCTTAAGTATTACATAAAGGTGGAACGGTAAAGTGTTACGTTTATTCTTAGAACGCTGTTGATTTATTACAAAGCGTACGCGACTTCCTTCTGATGCGCGTAATAAGCGCTATAGAGGACGGGGCACCGTGACAAAGCGGGGCGGCTGAGAAACCGTCGTCTCTGTGCGACCGTCCGCACAAAGCGTTCGATGAAGGCCGCGTGATACATTTCGCGAATTCGCGGTAAAACGCGGCACCACGGAATAATCTTAACCGGGTTACGACACACGGCGCCTAGCCAAAAGACGAATTCCGCACGGACGCGCGTTGCCCCGCGTGAGAGAATTCCAGGCGGCGGAAACGCGCGTCTTCGGAGACAGAAGGAGGACTGGCTGGACACGAAGTCGGAAGATCGAACCGGAGCGAATCGGAATGAAAAACTGCCTTTTCCATCATTTTGCGAAGGCAAACTTGCACGCCGGAGAGATTCGGGGCAGAAAATATCAATCTTTCCGCTATCCTTATTTTTCATCGAATACCATTTGTACAGAAACCTAAAGAAATATATGGAGCAAGAGGAGAAATACACATCTATTATATCCGTACGCTTGTTTAGTTCTCCTTTTTACTTTTAAGATTCCAAATTAGATGCACAAATTGACACCGCTTGTATTCAACGGCTATAAAATCTTTCTTGCTGTAAGAAGAGAAATATTTCCTTAGTCTCCATTTCCTTCAGAACTTTTTGCCATCCGATCACCGCGGGAGGCGCATTTACTTTTGCTTGGCAAACCACTCTGAAACACGTGCACTCTCCGAATCGAAGCGGTTTGTGCCACGTGCATATTTCTTCACGGAGGCGTCTCGATGACGCAAACTCCTGCGGTGAATTGGAAACGGATGCATACGAAACGCGACATGCGAAACGCGAGCAGGAATTGATTCCTCGACTCTTCCCAAGCGGAGTGACTGAAAATTATGACAAATGAGAGATAACGTCATATCCCGAGTCGAAATTTTAGCACTATTATGACACTTTTAAGGATAATTTACACCTACTTAGCTGATCTATACACCTACATAGACCAGCAATAACCTACTTTCATGACATTCTATTTTTTTACTCCTCCCTTGAATCTTTAATTCTAAAAGTTTAGCTTCTACTTGGAAGGACCTACTTTAATGCTAAATTGGCAAAAGTAGAAATTTCTGACACTATCGGTTTTTAAGTAGGAGTAAATTTTGTACTTGCAATTCGACCTCTTTTATTGTCTCAGGTTCTACTGCAATATACAGGGTGAGTCTTTCCATATCCGACAAAATTTTTGAGAAGGTAGAACGGATCGAGATGAACGAAAAAGTCCTGTACCATTTTGCAATTTTCGTAATAGTTAACAAGTAATTAATTATTAAAAATCGTTGTCTTAGGCCGGCCTACCGCCAAATTCGAGCGCGTGGCAAGATGTGACCGCCCGGCGATCGATATTGCTT